AAAAAAATCTTTATATTAGGCAAGTTTGCATATACAAATGTATGTATGCAAATGTTTGCATATACAAATGTAAACAAAACATCCAAACAAATTTTCACAAAAATGTCCATTGCTTTTGTATTTGTCATACTTTCTTTCCTTTTTCCACTCCCCTCTCCTCATTATTTAATGACTGGGCACCCTTATTTCCACATTGCACACGACCTACAGAGTGCAAGAAGTGTACTTTATTCTCTAGTAGAGCTGATTCTGATTGAGGCAACAGTGCTACTGTGTTGGAGTGTTTCAAAACTTTGCCCATTTCATTTCCTGAATCTAAATCCCTCCAAAAGACTGCTATTTGTCTCCAAGTGTGGCGGAAACAGTTACAATAAAAACATTGTGAAATCTGTTCAGGGATGTCCTGCTTTCCACTGACTTTAGTCTTCAGTCCAGAAGCATGGCCCCTTTCCCCTCGCCCTGCCCTTCCACGTTTTTTCCTCTGAAGGATTTCTTTTCTTATTTTATAGAATCATAGACTAGTAGGATTGGAAGGGGCCAAGAAGGACATTTGGTTCAATCCCCTGCTGGTGCAGGTCACTAATTTACAATATCTCTACTCTTTCTTTATTCTAGAGTTACATGGCAATCCACTGCAGGATGTGCAATTCCAGTCTTGTCGTTGTCATTCTAATGTTGGAAGTATTGGAAATAAAATGTAGGCTCCAGGGCAAGTTGTCCTCCAGGTAAGTATCCTTTCTTGTGGCATCAAGGTGGAGCACTGGGGAGATCCTGCAAAGCACAGAAATGAAATTGCAGTTAAGAAACGAGTTGGAATTGCAGGGATACACTCCTGATGATAGATCATATGCAAAAGTCACGTGATCTCAGGTGGTTAATTCACTGGATGGTGCGTTCACCTGCCCAGTGAATACTGCAGTCAAACTATGGGCAAATGTGTGAGAACCTGCCCTGATTCCTTCCTCTAGCTCACGGGTCCTCAAACTACAGCCCATGGGTTCGGCCCACCATGTCCATTTATCTGGCCTGCCTCAGAATTTTGAACTCGCTCAAAGAAAATGATCTCTGAGCAAGTCCAAAAGCTCAGAGCCGGAGCAGGAGTCCTTTAAAACTGAGTAGAGAGAGAGCCAGCACATGCGCCGAATTGCAACAGCTCAACTGCACGTTATCTCCCCCTCCCCCCCCCCATTGCAAGCATATACAGAGGGGAATACGGAGCGGGAAACAGAAGAGAGGCGGGCGAAAAAGGAAGAGAGACAAAGAGGAAGATGAAGACAGGATTGAAGGTAACAAAAATGCAACTGTTTAAATCTATTTTTAATTATGCGAGCCCAGGGGCGGCCAGGCTGTGAGGCCTTCTCTGAGCGAGCAAGCCACTGCCTCACCGGGCCTGGGCCTGCCGCCACCTTGCGGGGTCTGCACCCGCCGCTGCCACCACTTCACTGCGCCTGCACCCGGGGCAGACAGGCTGAGGCGGAGCAGCTTACTCGGAGAAAGCCACAGGGCTCCCACGCCTCTGCCGCAGCCTTCTCCGAGCAAGCAAGCAAACATTTTTTAATTTTGTAATTAATTTTAAATGTTAATTAATTTTTAAATTAATTTTAATTTAAATTAATTTTTTAATGTGCAGTGTGCATATTCATTTTTTTCTTCAAACTGTAGTCCGCCCCCCCAACAGTCTGAGGGCCAGTGAACTGGCCCCCTGTTGAAAAAGTTTGAGGACCCCTGCTCTAGCTAATACCTTAGAGACTTCACCTCATATTCTTTCAAAGTAGTAAACTTCTGTTTCAGTATTAAGTGTGCATTTTTCTAAAATATTAGCAATATTCCTGGAATATTAGATTGGGAAATATTGGGGTTAACAGACCTTGGACCAAGCATGCATTTTTCTCCACAAAACCCACACATTTCACAATTGGTGGACATGTCCAGTAGTCACTAGAGTAGCTCACTGAGGAAGAAAACTAAGTTTCCCATTCTGTTCACTTGAAAAATTAGGAAACCTGCAGTGCGCACAGTTCCACCCAGCATGAGGCCTCAGCGCACCGAAGGGCCCCTTCGGTTGGCAGGAGCAATGCGTCCAGCAGAGTTTCTCCAGTGGCTGAACTGGGAGGCTGGTGATCTGTGTCAGTTCCCTGCCCTTCTCCATGTCCCCCAAATTCTGCCCTGTGGGGTTGAGAGGAGGGGTGCATAACAATGACACGTCTGTTTGCACAATGTGGCTCATGCAAGCCTGAATGCAAGGGGTGGGGCGTGTGTGTTCTCTAACGGGTTTTGCAAATTCCTGAGCTTCTGCTTGTGTTCCAAAACTGTGCACTTTTGAAAGGATGTGCACTTTCCCCATTTCAATGAAATGGAAGAGGGTAATGTGGCATGGGAAATGAGGCGAGGCAAACTTCAGGGTGGTGCTTGAATCTCCGCAATCGCAAACATCACTTGGGGGGATCCTCCACAACAGTGGAGGAGATGACCCTGGGGCTGCAGAGGGGGAGAGAATTGGCAAAGTCCCTCCCCAAATTTTGGTCTGCAGGAGTGTTCTCGGTGGGCATCTATTTAGGGAAGCCCTTGCCAATGGGATAAACATTGCCTCTGACCCTCTGCATGAGGCGAATCACCCAATCAGTGTTCCCTTGCTGGAGAGTGATTAAGGCACTAACTCAGGACAGGCAAGTAATTGGCAATCCTGAAGTTGGAAAGAATTAATCTGCATGAATAGCATTTGGAATGGCAGCAGTATTGGGGATCAGTGAGCTCCTGTGGATTTTTAACTTTCCATCGTCTATCTGCTCTGACATTTGAAAGAAAAGTAGGAGAGGCAGAGTTTCCCCGCGCTGCCTCCTTAATCGGCATCCACAATGTTGCCTTAAGATTCAAGCGAGGAGCGTGCGAGTGGCTGGGGGGACCAGAAGCAGCGTTTCAGAAGTGTTCTCTGGGGACACAAACCTAATCAGCTCAGTATGTACTACCAGAAGCCAGGCATTCAGGTTCGGGGTAGAAATGAACTTGATTGTTCCTAAAAGGCCCCAAGTCAATGTTGAGGAATTAATGAGGACAGGAAATAAGCACGCATGTCCCTCTCCTTTGGGGTTCAGGGATACTTGACATATTGAGGCTGGTGAATACAATCAGGGCGAAGGCAAGGAGTACTCTGGTACTCCACACATGTTTAGCAACAGGGAGCAGCTGCTGCTAGTACTGCCATTTTCTTTACTCTAAGAGCACCAGGAGATGAAAGATTACATAGTAGTCTGGGAAATGCACTCTGCATATTCCCAGGCTCATCATTATGAGCACTGAATACCGTTTCCTTGCCTATATCTAGGCAAAGATTAAGCCCCAGGTAGAATAGCATGTTCTCGGTAGTTTTCTGAAGGTAGAACAAAATGTCCTTCATGTGAGCCATCGGATAGTTCCACTTCAGGTTGGAAACTGCTTAGGAACCCCTCCAGAAATGGAAAGGACACGGATATGCCTGAATGCCCATTTGTGTGTTCTAACTTAGAGAGAGAGACAAGTGTCAAAGATGTTTTATATATAGCTTAAATACAGTTTATCTCACTCTGGGGCAGAAGATGGTGACCCAATGACCCATGTGCCTCCATGCTTAGACTGAGGCCAGGGGATAACTGTGATTGGGCAGCAGTTCTGCTCTTTGATCCCACATTGGGCAGGGTTGGGGTAATGGAGGACATGGCTGCCCTACCTCAGTTCCCTCGGGAAGCCTGTCTGGAATGGAGGCCGTACCCTTGGATTCTCAGAGCTAGAGGACATCTCCGTACTCAGTGCTGTGATCACAAAATACCAGGTCACATGCATACAGAAACAAATCAGGAGGATAGAGCAGGAAGAGGAAAATGAGACTTTCTAGAAATGTACTGTCTGGAATGATGAGAGTCTTCTTTCATAACTTGAAGCCTGCCAATGGAACTTGCCAGCTGCTCACTAGCAGTTAACAAATTAATGCTGCATTCTTGCCTCTTGATTTTGGGTTTTGTTGTTGCTCCCGCACTCTCTGCCATTCTCTTATCTACTTGTCTGATGATTGCTTGCCTTGTCCAGCAGGTTCCTTCATTCCAGCTTTTCCAGCCCTGTAGAAGGAAAGGAGATCCTTGCCTATGGAAGAGAGCCTGATTCAGCCACCAGTGCAAAGAAAACTCTGGCAGGAAGTGGCCTTGAGCCTCTTATACTCCCTGGTTCCAGAAAAGCCAAGCCTGCCCTTCCATCCATTGCAAACCTAAAGCACAACTGTAGGAGAATATGATATTATCCAAGTTATGTGTCTGCAAGCAAGGCCAAAGGCTTTCATTCTGGCACAGGTAAAATACAGTAACATTTACCCCGAGAGAAAAAGATAGACCTAAACAATCCCCAAATAAAGTGCATCAGAGAGTCAGAAGGAAAGTGCTGGCTGACAGCAGGAGAGCTAAAGATTGACCTGCCACATCAAGGGCAGAATTGCTTCTTGGGAGAAAAATGGTGCAAGGACGTTGTACCAGCTAGGTGCCCCTGCTGTAATGATGCTCATTTTCTGGCCACTCGCCATGCCTTAAGGCACCGCTGCTGTGTGCAGAAAGCGCCCTGGGTGGATCTGCCAAGGCGTGCATTTTCGCAGCAAGCCAGCCCTGCTGCGATTATAGTCAGAGCTGCAGGGAAGCACAGCATTAAAGTCTCGGCGGCACTCACCCGCCATGGCCTCAGAGTGCCTGAGACACTGAGGGCCGCATGGGCGCTCATGTCGCTGCTTGACAGAGCAGCCCCAAAGCCCTGCCCATAGCCACACTGCCCATGGCTTGGTCCCGAATTGTGGAAGATGCCATTATGGGATGCATGCAATCCAAAAACGGGATTTGGAATCCAGGGATTGGGCTCCCTTGGCTCAGCGCATGTGGCTTGCAAGAGCATTTGTGTGCCTTACCACTGGATTCAGCTGAACTCTGAGGGAGTCACTCCAGGGTATTCTGCTATCTTGTGTTCTCACGGCCAGCAGTAGCACAAAAGAATCAGCAGAAGGGCTAACTAAAGAAAGGACCACCAGCATGTGAGGGCTTTTGTGACAAGAGCTGTGCTTCTTGATTCTACCCTTCTGGTTTAATCCTTTATTTATCTGTTGCATTTTGTCATGGTGTCCTAGCTTAAACAAGGCTGGAAGCTTTGCACTGGGTAGCACTCAGCCTTCCTCTGGGTTCCATTTCTTGCAAAAAAAAAAAAAAAGATTCTGGGGCTCACTTCTGTCTTAATGTAGCCCCCCACCCTCCCCAACCTGGAAAGAAAGAGACAGCTGGCAAGAAAAAGCATGGTAAAGCTGCCCTTTTGCCAATCTGCAAGGATATAGCATTAATTGTAAAACTGGGATTAGGGTTAGGCTTTGAAAAACCGCACTCCCCGCATGGATTGGAGGCTTCAATCAAGTTTGCAGCAAGCCAAAAGAGACAGCTGGCAAGAAGAATCCTGGTAGACATGTAGTGAATCCACATGGAGGTATATGTGATTAATCCCAAAATTAGGGTTAGGCTAAAGGTACAGGATAGGGTTAGGGGTTGAAAAACCAGACTCTGCCCCATGGTTTCCAGGCTTCAAGTGCATTTGCAGCAAGCAGAAAGAGACATCTGGCAAGAAAAGTCCTGGCGAACCAGCACTTTCGCAAAACCAATTTGAGGTATATGCCACTGATAGTCAAATTAGGGTTAGGGTTGGAAAAACCTGACCCCGCCCAATGGTTTTGAGGCTTCAAACGTGTCTGCAGCAGACAGAAAGACACAGCTGGCAAGAAAACCCTGGGCAAATATGTATTTTTCCAAATCTACCTTGAGGCATAGGCCACTGACACTCAAATTAGGGTTAGGGTTAAGGTCCAGGTTAGGGTTAGTGTTTGAAAAACCAGAAACTGCCCTGTGGTTTGCAGGTGTCAAATGTGTTTGCATTAAGGAGAAAGAGATTTGTCCTTTTCAAACATCTGCATTGAGGCATGGGAATTTTTCAGCCAAAATTAGGGTCAGGGTTCCAGGCCAGGCTAGGGTTGGGGTCCAGGTTAGGATTTGGTTTGAAAAACTGGAAGACAGAGTTGGCATGAAAAACAAAGGGAAGCAAGCACTGTGTGAATATCTGCATGGAGGTATGTGAGTCTCAGCCCCAGAACAGGGTTAGGGATAAAATCCAGGGTAGGGTTGGGATTGAAAAATCAAGGATGCTCTTCCTCCTAGAGGCTTCCAAAATATCTGCAATGGCAAGAAAGAGAGAGCTGGCCAGAAAAGTCCCACAGAAATTGCCATTTCTGAAGGTCTGCAGTGAGGCATGGGATTATTTAGCCTAAATTAGGGTTAAGGTTGCAGGCCAGGCTAGGGTTGGGGTTTGCAAAACCAAGACTTTCATCATTGTCTAGAGGCTTCTGCACTGTTCTCCTAGGCCAGAAAGACAGAGTTGCTGTGAAAAATGCAGGGAAGCCATCACTGTTTCTATCCCCCCATGACGGTGTGTGCATCTGGGCCCCAAATTAGGGTGAGGGATAAAATCCAGAGTAGGGTAAGAGTTTGAAAATGTGTGACCCCTCCAACTTCTAGAGATTTCCCAAATGTTAGAGAGAGCTGGCCAGAAAAATCCCACAAAAAATGCTGTTTTTGAAGATCTGCTTTCATGCATGGGAACTTTTAGCCTAAATTAGGGTTAGGGCTCCCTGCCAGACTTGGGTTAGGATTTGTGAAACCATGCTTCTCAGCATGTTTTTAAGGACTCTACAGTGTTCACCTGGGACAGAAAGACATTGTTGGTATGAAAAATCCAGGGAAGCCATTAGTACTTCTATACCTCCCTGGCCGGGGGGCAGGGATGGAGTTGTCTGGGCCTCAAATTAGGATTAGAAATATATTCCAGATTTGGAAATATATATATATGTATATATTTAGGATTAGAAATATATTCCAGATTTGGAAAAAAATATATGTATATATTTAGGATTAGAAATATATTCCAAACATATTAGAGAAATATAATCCAGATTTAAAATTTGAAAAATGGAGGAACTCTCCAACTTCTAGAGGCTTTCAAAATGTTTTTGGTGGCCAGAAAGCGACAGCTGGCCAGAGGAAATTCCAGTATACTTGTCCTTTTGGAACATCTGTCTTGAGGCATGGGAATTTTTCAGCTGAAATGAAGGTTAGGCTTGCAGGCCAGGCTAGGGTTGAGGTTTGCAAAACCAAGGCTTTCTTTGTCTTGAATGTTCTCCACTGTTCCCCTGGGTCAGAAAGATGGAGTTGGTTCAAAAAATGCTGGGAAGCCATCCCCGCTTCTATACCTCCATGGCCATGTTTTCATCTGGGCCCCAAATTATGGTCAGGGATAAAATCTATGGTAGGGTTAGGGTTGGAAAAACCATGGCCCCTCCAACTTCTGGAGGCTTCCAAAATGTTTGCAGTGGCCAGAAGAGAGAGCTGGTGTCAGTGTCCGGGGTGAGGGTGGCGGCTGACTAACAGGACAAAGGCACCGGACCCAGGCAGACAAGGCGAGACAAGTCCAACACACAGTCCAAAGGTCAAGCCGGAAGTCAATACACAAACCAAGTCCATACAGAGAGGTAGCACAGTCCAGAGCAGGCTGAGGGTTGGAGAACCAAGGAAGGCAGCCCAGTCAGGGAGAGAAGAGGTGCAGGCGGGGTCCGGGAATCATAGGAACAGGAGCTCAGGCAGGACACAGGACCAGAGTTCCAAGTCTGGCAGACCACAAAGGGCTTCACCAACAGGAGGAGACCTTGTTGCCAAGGCAGCTTCTGTGGGGAAGAGCTGGTTCTTATATAGCTCTTTCCCACGGCTCCCCAGGTGGAACTCATGAGAGCCCTGGCAGCTGCAGTAGTCTAGGTCAGAATCCTGCAACTAGCAGAGCTGCTCCACTGGCCCTTGGCCAGCAGAGGGAGCCCTGAAGGTGCCTTGGTTCTTCACAGCTGGCCAGTAAAAATCCCACAAAAATTGCCCTTTTGAAGATCTGCAATGAGACATGGGAATGTTTAGCCCAAATTTGGGTTACGGTTGTAGGCCAGGCTAGGGTTAGGGCTTGCGAAACCAGGTTTCTCTGCCTGTTCCAAAGTGATCTATAGTGTTTTCCTTGTACAGTGTTTGTACAAAAAATCCAGGAAGCCATCAATATTTCTATATCTCCACAGCAAGGTGTGCAACAGGGCCCCAGATAACGATTAGAGAGAAATTCCAGGGTAGGGTTAGGGTTTGAAAACCAGGGACCCCATCAACTTCTGGAGGCTTCCAAAGTGTTTGGAGTGGGAAGAAAGAGAGATCCTGATATTTGGTTTAGGGATATGGTCCAGGTTAGGGTGTGGATTTAGAATCCAGTCTCTGCCCCACTGTTTGGTCAATTCAAATACATTTGCAGCAAGCAAAATGAGGCAGCTGGTAAGAAAATCTGTTGTAAGCCTGTCCTTTTGCAGATCTGCTTTGAGGTTTATGCCAATAATTGCAAAATTAAGGTTAGGGTTGTGGTCCAAACAAGGGTTTGGGTTTGAAAAACCAGTCCCTGCCCAGGATTTAAGAGGCTTCAAACATGTTTGCAGCAAGAAGAACGAGACAGCTGACCATATTCCCCTAAACCTATGTTTTTGGACATTCACCTGGAGGCATATGCCATTGATCCTGATACTAGGGTTAGGGTTACGCTCCTGGTGAGGGTTAGGGTTTGAATAACTGGAAGTGACCCACAGTTTGGATGCTTCAAATTTGTCTTCAGCAAGTGCAAAGTGATGGCAGGCAATTAAAATCCCTGTAAACCTATCATTTTGGAAATCTGTTTCGAGGTATATGCTTGTTGTTGTTGTTAGTTGCAAAGTCATGTCCGACCCATCACGACCCCATGGACAACACTTCTCCAGGCCTTCCTGTCCTCCACCATCTCCCGGAGTCCACCTAAGCTCACACCAACTGCCTCAGTGACTCCATCCAGCCACCTCATCCTCTGCCGTCCCCTCCTTCTTTTGCCATCAATTGTTCCCAGCATCAGGCTCTTCTCCAGAGAGTCCTTCCTTCTCATCAGGTGGCCAAAGTATTTGAGTTTCATCTTCAGTATCTGGCCTTCTAAAGAGCAGTCAGGGTTGATCTCCTCTAGGATTGACCGGTTTGATCGCCTTGTGGTCCAAGGGACTCGCAGGAGTCTCCTCCAGCACCACAATTCAAAGGCCTCAATCCTTTTGCGTTCAGCCTTCCTTATGGTCCAGCTTTATATGCACTTTAGTTGGCAGGGTGATGTCTTTGCTTTTTAGTATGCTGTCTAGATTTGCCATAGCTTTCCTCCCTAGGAGCAAGTGTCTTTTAATTTCTTGGCTGCAGGCCCCATCTGCGGTGATCTTGGAGCCCAAGAAAATAAAATCTATCACTACCTCCATTTCTTCCCCATCTATTTGCCAGGAAGTGAGAGGACCAGATGCCATGATCTTAGTTTTCTTAATGTTGAGTTTCAAGCCAACTTTTGCACTCTTCTCCTTCACCCGCATCAAGAGGCTCTTTAGTTCCTCTTCACTTTCTGCCATGACAGTGGTATCATCTGCATATCTGAGGTTGTTGATATTTCTTCCAGCAATCTTAATTCCAACTGGTGATTCATCTAGCTCCGCCTTTCTCATGATGTGCTCTGCATATAAGTTAAATAGACAGGGTGACAGTATACAGCCTTGCTGATCTCCTTTCTCAATTTTGAACCAATCAGTGGTTCCGTATCTAGTTCTCACTGTTGCTTCTTGACCCGGATATAGGTTTCTCAAGAGACAAATAGGATGGTCTGGTACTCCCATCTCTTTAAGAACTTGCCACAATTTGTTGTGATCCACACAAAGGCTTTAGCATAGTCAATGAAGCAGAAGTAGAACTCCATAGCTTTCTCCACGATCCAGGGTATGTTGGCAATTTGATCTCTAGTTCCTCTCCCTCTTCGAAACCCTGCCTGTACTTCTGGTAGTTCTCGGTCCACATACTGCTGGAGCCTAGCTTGTAGGATTTTGAGCATAACTTTGCTAGCAATGGTG